GGGGATGTGAACCGACAAAATAGGAATAGAAATATTATGGGAGGGAGATAATGAGCAATTGGGGGATGTGAAACGACAAAATAGGATTGGGAAGAATATGGGAGGGTGATCATGAACAATTGGGGGATGTGAACCGACAAAATAGGTTAGGATTGCCTTGGGAATTTGATAATTTGTTCTTATCATGTAGAGTTATTATCACTTTGCCGATGACATACTTTGTTGCCTCTCTTATTAGTTTGCCTATGAAATATTTTGTTGCCTCACATCGTCGGCTAATATTTCAATACAATGGGAAAAGTTTCCGCCATAGTTTACCCGTCAAAACAAAATTCGTCAGGGCATCGAATTTACGCCTACAAAATGATCTTCGGCTAACGTTCCAATTTTCTCAGCTAAGATTTGAGCCATGAGATGTTTTTGTTTAGAGTGGTGGAAGTCGACGGTAAGTCATGTGCAACGGGAAGGAAATTCGGCGGCTCATCGGCTTGCTCAGCTAGGGCTTACTTGTGCTAAGGAGATTGTGTAGTTTGAGGAACCTCCGGATTTAATTCAGGATATTTTGTTGGATGAAGGATTGTAAGTTTGATTGTTCATTTGAGGATATGTCTATTGTTGTGCGGGACACTCTTTTCCTTTGACCGGGTTGAAACCCCCGGCAAGATTTTTATCGAGGCCTATTTTGCAATCTATCCTCAGTTTGTACGAATTTTGTTTTGTTTAATGAATATCGTACCTTTGTTTCAAAAAAAATAAAAAACTAAGCAAATTAGATCGACAAAATTGATAAATACGATAGAATACAGATCATAAGTTAAATATAATATAAGTTACATTACGTACAATATAAATAAACTCCAAGTAACAAAGGTGCTAAATGCAACAACACAACAAAGTCTAACCTCCTAATTCCCTTACCCTTGGATTTTAGTCCTTGATGAACCTCTCGAAACGTCGTCGTATTTGTCTCATCCTAGTTTTTATTTTTTGTTAAAATAACTAATTTACCGAACGCTCCCCCATCTTTGTATTCTCGTCTGAAAATTTTTCAAAACCCTCGCTAGGGTTTAAGCACTCCTGACCGTTTCCAACCCAAACCCCAAACCCCAAAATCTATAAATTCGCTTTGCTTTCAGTAACCATGGATTTTCACTCATCTAGTTCCCCCACCCAATTTCTTCTTTCTTGCCCTCACAGATGGTAGGGCTCATCCCTCAGCTAACACTCGAAGACCTCGATCCAGTTTCAAAGCCCAAGTATTCGAAGGACCCGCCCGACTCCGTTGATCCCAGAGACCTTTCGGTTGCAGATTCCTTCTTGGATTTTGATTCCATAGAGGATTGGTTCAAGAATATTGATATGGCGGAAACAGGGCAGTTTAAGGCTGAGGCGATTGACGCAGAGTATATTGGAGGTGGGTTCGAGCTGGCGGGTGATGGGTCTGTGCCGATTGATTGCGGGTCTGGTTGTGCGGTGAAGGTGGAGGGTCAAATTTTGGAGTATTCGGGTTGTTTGATTGCGGAAGGGTTGGGGAAGGTTAATTTGCTTGGAGGGTGTGAAGAAAGTTCGGTTCTTGATGGTGGGAATGGTATGAAGAGTGAAGTAGTGAGTTCAGTTCTTGATGGTGGGAATGGTATGAAGAGTGAAGTAGTGAGTTGTGATACCGGGGAAATGAAACCGGTGAGTAATGAGAATGGGAGTGAGGGTTTGAAGTCGAAGATTGAAGGCGGGAATGGGATGGGGAGCGAAATGGTGAGTGGGAATGGTGGGAAGAGTGGAGCAGGGAATGGTGAGTCCGAGAGTGAAAGCTCGGAGTCTGAGAGTGAGAGTTCAGAGTCGTCGTCATCATCATCATCTGAGAGTAGTAACTCTAGTGATGATGACAGCAGTGATGATGAAGAGGAGGAAAACAGGAAAGGGAAGATGAATGTGGAGGTGCAGGAAAGCAACGAGGGTGGTGAAATGGAAGAAGGTGAAATAAGGGATGCTGATGGAGGGGAGGAGGAAGATAAGATATTCGGTATGGATAATGAAAGTGAGGATGATGATGATGAAGATGAAATGGTTGCTTGGGCCGATGCTGAAACTTTTGACGAGGGAGACGGCAATGAGGATGATGTTGGAGATCTGAAAGGACCCATTAGGTCCAAGAATGAGCTTGAGGTAAGAAAAAGTTCATTGGTTATCTCGTACCTTGAAGCCGTGAATGGACTTGTGCACATTTCAATTGATAAGTTGATATAAACATTCGGTGAGAGGTGGACATAGAGTCCCTATTTCATTCGTTAGGTCGTTACTGATAGATTAGCTTAGATGAGGAGTACATGTTGATTTTGTTTTAGTAGAGATAAGAAGATAGACTCCACTGTGATTGTGGAGCCGGCTTGTCTGACTTTGGTTTGGGATCGGGGAAAAGAAAGGGTACTTGGGATCATCTTTTAAGCAAGCAAGAAAGTCGCATTCAGGAGTTTCAGTATTTTCGTCTGATATACAGAATTCTCTTTAGTAAATTGAGTACCTTGCTCGATTGCTCTGGAATTAATAACGCATTGTAAAAAATTTAGCATTTCTGATGTTGCAGTACTTGCAATTTTTTTTGGAATTAGTTTTTCTATGTTTCTGTTTACCATATTCTTGATTCTATGATATCTTAAAACATGCAATGCTTGCTAAACCTTCAATGAAATTAGCTTTCTGGAGTATCTAGTACTGCTTCAAATAGTTTGACAGGATTGCTTTGAATTTCGCAGGTGCTTCCCCCAATTCCTCCAGTGGAGGTGACTTTGCAACCACATCATCAGATGCAACCTGTGGGAGTTGTCTTATCGGTAAGCTCATAAGGATGTGAAAGGTTATTTTATTTTATTTATTTATTTTTTTTTTAATCTTAATTATGCAAGGAAGCCTATATTGTAACATGAACTTTATCAATCTCTAGTGTCATTGAAAATTTAGAATCTAGGTGACACTCTAGAAGGTGCTTATTGTGATTTGTGGTATTGTTACCTAATTGGTTTGATGCCAATTTGAATTTTACAGGTTCTTGGTACCCAAGTCATTGTAGAAGGGGTTGAGAAGCACAACCCTCTAAACGAGGGTTCGATTTTGTGGGTAACTGAAAGTAGATCTCCGTTGGGGTTGATAGATGAAATCTTTGGACCTGTCATACAACCTTACTATGTGGTGAGATACAATTCAGAAAGTGAAATACCTAGTGGAATACAAACGGGAATTTTGGTCTCTTTCGTTCCGGAGTTTGCAGATCATGTGCTTAATAACAAGGATGTTTACCGAAAGGGTTATGATGCATCTGGTGCAAATGATGAAGAGATATCAGATGAGGCAGAATTTTCAGATGATGAGAAAGAGGCTGAATACAGGAGGATGCAAAAAATGTCGAAGAGGGGAATGAATGACCAAAATGTTGGCAATAAGAAAAACAACAGAAAATGGGGTAAAAATAAGTCAGGACCCTGGAAAAATGGTCAACCTTCACCTCAGCAAGCACCAATGGATGCGGGTAAGCAGCCTCCCAATCAACACCACCATCCTTTTTCTCCAGGTGTACCATCTTCTGCTGCAGTATCACAAGGATTGGTTAGTCGGAATGGATTAGTTCCACCATTTCCAGCTCCTACACAGGTCGCTGGTATCAACACAACTTCAAATGGAGGTTGGACAAATGGAGTGCCGTTTCAGCCACCAAAACACATCCTTCCCTAACGGATTTCCAAATAATAATTTTCCAAGTCTTCCACAGTATAATCCTCAATATCCTTATCAAATGCCTATTCAGAACAGAATGCCGTTCTATCAGCAGGCTGGTGCTGTCTTAGCGGGCCAACAGTTGAACGCCTTTGCAGGACCTGTGTATTCACAAGGGATGATGGATCAACATGGATTCAATCAAACAGCATTTGGGTTAGGTTTACAGGGCCAACCCATACCAGGCCAACAATTCAATGCCTTTGCAGAACCCACGGTGGGTCAACTTGGTTTCAACCAAAACGCGTTCGGGATGGGATTACAGGGCCAACCTTCTCACCCAATTTTCAATGCAGATCAAGGAATGCCATCAAATGGATTACATTCTGAACAAAACCATAATTCGCCACATCCGTCGCAAATGCAGGCAATGTGGACAGCCAGCAATATGATCAGGGCGCACCTTCTAATCATGGAAGGAGACCCTCCCAAAGAGGGGGTCGTAATTTTGGAAGGAGACCCTCCCATAGAGGGGGTCGTAATTTTGGAAGGGGAAGAGGCAGGCAGCAATCGAGGTGAAAGTTATGGCATGCTCTGCGGCACCAAGCACACTGAAGTTAAACTACAAGTAGGCTTTGAGAAGAGCCATCGTTCGAAATCGCTTGTTTTTTCGTATTCGGTTATTACTGTATTTGCTGGTCCAGTATATGGAAGAACATAGATGGTGAACATGTTCTCCATTTCCTTAAAATGCAATATCCACCTTAGTTGCATTTAATTTTGAACATCCACAAATTTTGGTCTGTCTGGTAAATGCGTCGATAATTTTGAATTTAATCCTATCAACCGTACTTATTTTGTTGCGGGAGCAAATTTTCAGGCCCCGAATTTATAATCTTGCAATAGTTGGTTACCAACACATGCGTTACTCGAATGCAGGGATGATCTTGTGCGCGAGTTCAAGTGACATTAAAGCCCGTACCGAAGAATTTCTCCTTGGATACGGGACAACATTCCCATGTCAATCTAAGCTTACATCAGTTCAAGGCATCTTTAGTAAGTCAAGGGGTTTTTTTATCACAAATGGTCCCTGAAATTAATCTATAGGATAGTCTCTGGAATTAAAAATCGATTAATATGGTCCCCAAAAAATGAGTCACATTAATTTGCGACACTCATTTTCAAAGACAACATTAATTGATTTTCAATATCATGGACCATCTCGATGGGATGAGTCAATTTCAATGATCATTTGTGATAAAAACCCATAATTTAAAGAAAATAGAAAAGAAATATCACCTGTTAAGCATGAGAATAAATTATCAAATTAGAAGGTTCTAAATAAGTCGAGAACAAGAGACATTAACTCGGGAAATTGTCATTGGAAGCTGCCTTTTGTTTCCAATGTGGGGAACGGGGAGGGGTAGGGGGTTGCTTTCAATGAGGCGATAAGGGTACAAGTCACCCATATGATCAAAGGGGAATATCAGGACTGCAGGGATATTGTTCAAGTTTTAGCATTCCTTGTGAAGTCAGTGCAGGTCTGGCAGCTGCAATCCGAGAAACGACAGATTTCGCAACCAAAGCACACACAAGAAGTACAGCCTTGGCAAGTCGGAGAACGGCTGCAGCCTCTATATACCCTTCGACTTGCTCGTTCTTCTTCATCATCACATGTTATTCTGAAGTATAGACAAACATTCACATTTGAATTACTGAACCTTTAAACATATGTAATAACTACAACATACCAACCATTTTTTGGTATATTGGGTATGTGCACTAGTTTACAACCTACCGTCTTAATCCAAAATGCCTACTGGTGAATGTCAAGGAATAACATCGCCATTTATATTTACTCCCCCAATCGAACGTCCGCTTCCTAATGTTTTCTTAAATGTGTATTTCTCAACCTTAAGGTAACTCGAATGGCATCAAACTACCATTATTGGATTGGTATATGCGTACAAACACCACCTACTCTACCCCAGAAAGTAATAACCACTCAATTTTCCGGAAATGATGCCACAATCCATCTTTAAGCAGCTAATCCGGCTAATTTCTAACTACTGAATCAACGAAGCTGGATGAACAGTATACACAAACATAAAATAAGCGATCAATATAGAAGCTACAATAAGCAACCATTCAGTTGTTCTAAAAACCGTCAATAAAACAGCATATTGAAACCAAACTACACTATATAACCATTAGCATAATGATTAAACAGAAACGTTATTCATATTATTTCACATTTGTGAGATAAAACTATAACTAGTGCATGGTTCATGAATGGTTGATGGCCTATAGCATAAGAGAAAAACAACTCGATCAATACCAAGTAGACGTATTTGTTCAGTGTAAGAGAGGAACATACTTGTCATACGGCAGATCAGCACATTTCCAATTCACATCAGCCAAAGCATCATGGTAAACCCGACATTCCTCTTTTGTCCGGAGGCGAAACCTGCGCTCCTTGTTGCACCTAGTACAGGAAACAAACTCATCATGATGACAAACACGTCCATTGTTGGATCTGTGGGAACCATTAGCACTTTTTGATGCCTCGTTATGGTACTTGAGCAGCACCGTTTTACACAGCGGAACCTTCTTCCCGTTATCAATCACCCAAACATTATTTTTCCATTTCCTAGCAGTCTCTCTTCCAGAATGCTTTTCAAATGCAGCAGGAGTCAGTTTTCCTAGTGATTGAAATAGAAAGGGAGGAAAATAAATAAGATGGTTATAATACAAGAGTTGAGCTAAAACAGAAACAAAAATCCTGGATATAAGCACGAAACCTCAATCTGAGCTTTTGTCATGATCATTAAAGTAGTTAAACAATACTTAAAGCGCATACATCCCAACGTGTACGATTTTCTGGATATTATTAACAGATCACACGAACTACATATAGCTAACTCAACTACATAATTAAATACTAACGGTTTCACCTCTATCTTGTTGGAACCACAAAAAGAGCTGACAGTAAATACACGAAGGTTGTGAGCAGGTGGACTCCATTATCGGGTCAAGACTGTGTCTTTAAGGCAGCAATTTGCTTTACAGACAGAACAACTGTCCTTGATGGACTAAGTTGTTTTATATGAGGAAAAGATACCGGCAATTCAATGAACACTAAAGACATAAGAGTCTTGTTATGAGATGCCCTAATCTTTCGAGTGTGTGCCAAATTCAGACGCAGGAAGCAATCTTGTGGAATTATCACAAGGACTGTATCATGGAAGAATAAGATATGGCTCGCCCAAAAGCTGCAATTATGTAAAAGAGGATGCACCGCTATCGGATGCACCGCTAGGTTGTCAGAAAGAGGTATTCTTGGAAACTCCACGCCATAGTGCTTACTGACAATAGCATTGTAGAAACAAGACCGGAAGCGCATAGAGACATCAGATAACACAGTCAAGCTTGAAAGTTATAAGGGTGGCTGCTCATGAAATAACACATTGGATTAACTGTCAATGCCCATAAGCCAAGTATGAAAAAGCAATTGCATCAACCACATTAGTGCTAATTACATCAAAGACGAAAGAAAGATACGCAAAGCCCTACAATAACTAAACCATGCTATGCAACTCTACAACAGCTTACTCTGGAAGAGAAAGAACAGAACTCAGGACATATTCGAAACCAAAACCTCGAAAACCAAGTTTAATTACGAGGTTGCGATCGCCATGAAAATGGCAATGTAGGTTTCATTCTCAATACACCAACTTAAAGAAAAACTCCTTACTCCACAAACCAGCCAGAAACCATCTGAACTCGACCATATGAAGCAATAGAGTAGACAAACATATAGCTACTGTAAACCCAACACGGAGAAGGCATTCGGTCAGACAAAACAACATACACCTCAACTGTATACCCAGCAAAAATACAATGAACAACTTCCAAAGCAAAAGCTCGTCGTCATCAAATACAAACCCAGCAGATTAACCAGACCAGAAAGGGACAGACAGACAGACAGCCATCAACGTCAAAACCAGTACACGATGAACTCAAAGAAGAAGCTCAAAATGCAAACAACATGCATTAAAAATCAAAACCCTTTTCCCCAAAAAGCAAGTGAGAGAGAGATCAAAAGGGCAGAGAGAAAGACCTTCCTGACAGCCAGGGGTGCACTCGCAGGTGATTTCGAGGTCGCCATTCACGAAAACCCTAAGCCTCCCAACAGCATCGCCATATCTGTGGCTGGTGCAGCCGCACGTGACCTCCATATGGTCCGGACCTCTCTTCACCCCGCTCATCTCTCTCAGCTCATCGTCGCTAAACAGCACCATCCCACAGTCTCTCTCTACCCCATTCGCCATTTTTTCGCAAAAGGTTGAGTCTTGATCGAAACCCAGAAATCCCAGAAGGTGAAATCGAGGAAAAGTCAGAAAATATGGAAGAAAATCAAGGAAAATAACATGGGTTTTCTGGGCTGTATCGGGAACAAGAGAAAAAAAAGGTCGAGACAAAGAGCCCAGAAAACCACAAAGAGAGAGAGAGAGAGGGGAAGGGAGAGGCGAGTGCTGTAATTAAAAGGGTTTCTAAGAGGCACGCATCTCCGTGGATTTATTCCGAGAGATCTGGTGGAGGAAAACGTCGAAAGTTATAGTCTTTTTGTAGATAGAAAGATAATAAAGAGGGAAAAAAATGGAAGCGTTACGAGTTTGATAGAGAGAGTGTGGGTGAGATAGAGAGAGAGAGAGAGAGAGAGAGAGAGTGAGAGTGAGAGGTTGGTTGGTAATGGAGTTGAATGAAATATGAATGAATGAAATGAGCTGGCTGTCGTGGGGTGGAGTTCAGCTGAGAGGAGTGAGAAGGGGTTAAAAGCCTCTCTCTCTTTCTCTCTCCTCACTCCCTCTCTCTCCTATTTGCCAATTGCAAGAGATGCATGATATGACATGAGAGGGAAGGAGGGATAAAAGAAAGGGAAAAAAAATGGGTCTTGGGGTCGGGGGCTTTCGTTTATGGGAAAATCCCTCTCGTGGGAAGGAGGTGAGGTTTTCGGTTTCTGTTCAAAGTCCTTTTTTTTACTCCCTTTCTTTTTACTGCTGCTTGGAGATTTGCACTGTTTTCATAAAAGATGGCATCTTTGATTCGAGCGATAATCTACGCTAAATCCCAACAAGACGGATTTGAAATTTAAAGCAAAAAACAGAGCACATTGATCTCGTCAGTTTCGCTAACAAATAGTCTTCAAACTTGGTACTGTGGTACTGTGGTGGTGAAGTGAGGTGAGGTGCCGGGTGGTTGGCGCCAGGCAACCAGAGAGGCCGAGGTGTAAGAATTTGATGCAGAAAGTGTAGGGAAATGAGTTTGGTGCTGGACTTTTATCGATTAAGTAGTGAACAGAGCCAAAGATTGTGATCAGAAATTGGAGGTTTATACTTGGTATTCTCGTGAGTCGGGATTGGAAAGCAGTAGCAATGACAGTGATTTTTAGTTAGCTTTAGGCTTTAGCAGTTTCAAATGGTGAAACCGACCGTTGAGTAAAACCCAATCCAAACCTAAACCCTTTTGGCTCTCTCATACGCATGAGCGAAATGGTTCAATATACGCTGAGATTTTTTACCGTTACATGGGTTACCGTATATATAACTTATTGTTCATTCGGCGCATGATATACACTGTAAATATAAGAAAATTGATGTAAACCATATGATATTTTTTACGAGAGAAGTGTTATAACATTGCAATTACAATTTTGGTTCCTAAAACAAACTACGAGCCAAACTAATGGTTGATTTTTCGTTAAAAATGAACAGTACCGATAATGTTTCGTTAAAACTTCCTAAAGATTTCTTGTGTCAAAGAAGAAATTTTGGCACAGCGGTCTTACTAAAGCATCTCTCACATTAGTTGGTGGTGAGGTTGGGTAGGATTACAGTACAATATTTTTTTTTTGTAAGAGGTGCATACATAATGGGTGTAAACAACTCTATCTAAATCATTGTCAAGTTTGAATAGAAACTTGGATAGAAAAATAGTCGAGTTAGAGAATGGCAGCTATAATACTTAAAAAGGAGGATATTCACACATTACTTTTTACCTTTTATATGCATTTTTTAATTTCCGGCCATTGAATTGAATAAATTGAAAAATATCAAATAACAGAAACTAACATGCGGTGTGTGGAAGGTAAGAAGGGGTACGTGGATAAAACCACCCATGAATAATGGCCATTTTAATCAAATGACACAAGATTTACTCATTTGCCCTAATAATAACCAAGATTTGGGTATATATCCTTACACTATGTTAGAGAATAGAGTTCCACATCAAAGAGATAACAAAATAGTATACCGTTTATACGTGAGAGGTTCACTTCTAATATCACTGATGTATTTTGTGATAAAACTTCCCACATAGTAATAAATTGTTAATTTAGAAACAATATCAGTGATGTTGGTGATGGATCATGTTGCGCCTAAAAAGTTTATCATGAAAGCAAATTATTCTTCCAAAACGTGTTGCGCTCAAATTTGTCTCCTAATTGCGCTAGCTCTCCTCTAAGGATATTAGTATGAACAATGAGTCTTCAAAACAATTGAGTTGTCTCTAGTCTAATGAATGAATGATGACCAAACTCTTAAAACGTTAAGTTAGCTTGAATATTGCAGATTGATGGCGGATTATATTGAACCTGAAACCTTGAAAATACAAACTTTAGCTTTATCCCACCATCATCCTGCCTACTTCGATATAAAGCAAGACTACCAAGTTTTCTAAGGTAACGTTGAACGTCAACTAGTTACACTAATTTAGGAGAAATATGAATTATCATACTTGCAACTTAATTAATTTGACACAGGTGCTAATATACTTATATTTTAGTGTATCTCACCAACCTTTAATATATGGGGATAATTTTATATAGTTTGTGTGTGGAGCCATTCACTAAGGTACGTACGTCATCGTTTCATAGTTGCCACATGCATTCTCTGTTTTCTATACAGTATTAACTATTAAGCTATTTAAAAACAACTTAAAGCTTTGTTTAAAGATGCATTATTGACACTAAGCTTAGAGCCAGCTTCTATATTTGTTGACAAAGTTGGATACCACTAAACATCATCAACTTAGTTCTCAGTTGTTGAGGCTAAACATCATCAACTACAAAATTACCTTTTAAATGATCAAAGAGGACGTGTCGATTGTTTAATTAACTTTAAATATACTTGATCACTGGTTTTGATACCATATTTAATTATATTATGCACAAGTGCTTACTTCTGTAAGTTAGTTTAGATATGCTCTACGTCTTACATATAAAAAGTCATTTCTTCTTATAAATCTGATCCATTGCCAACACGTTATTTTAGTAGACAAATTAAGAACTACATGAAAGTCTGAAGAAGTTTGATCTCAAGACAGGTAGTGGCGGTGGTGGATGTCAATGTCTGATCTTATCATACATCACAAGAAGGCCATTGTGGCGGGGGATTGTGAAGAGATTCTCAACTAGTACTCTACACCATGGAGCATAGTAGGACTGTAGTTAGTTTGGTTTCATCTTTTGATATCTCCAGCAATTTCAACTGGTTGATTCCTACCCATCATTAGCTCATGACACAGTGCATGCACTAGTCATTACCTATTAATTAGCTAATTGGGGTAAGTTGTTAGCTCAATTTATAGAAAAATTATGGTCACGAACTGTATATTTGATGAGGAGAGATATTTCGATAAATCAATCTGACTATGATAATGCTCATACCAAATCAGATCAAATCGAGTTGGATTAAAATAAAATACATAAACAAGTTAAATAAAGGTATGATATGATGCCTCAACCATGATGATATGATGCCATCATCATCATCATCTTTAGCAAAAGGTAGAGGAAATATTTCAGTGTAGTCCCGTTGGAAAAAGTATGATTGAAAACAAGGCCTAGCTCTTTTCACTGTGGCATGCGATTCGGTTTATGATTGGTTTGATATCCCTTGAAGTGACCTGGCCACACACAGTGACATACTGGGCTAGGTCGACCTTCACCTCCCTCTCTCCCCCTCTCTGTGCCTCTCCCTCTCTCTCTTTGCGTTCAAAAAGTTGTGCAGCTCTAGCATAAAATCATTAGGCATTAGAAATATATTAATAAAATGATAAAAGTACACATGAAACACTGCCCTGCACACATTTTACGTAACAACAATGATTAACTATAAGCTTTTCTTTTTTCAAAGTGTAAAAATAAATTTAGGTGTAAGACAATGATTAGGTTAAGCTAGAGAGTTCTAACGAGTGGTTTATCTCATTATGTGTATATCTCTGTTCTCAAATGATTAAAACATGTTCTTATGGCTATATCTTTGACAACAAGTGATCAAAACATATATACACTGAGAAAAATAAAGAAACTATTGTTTTATCGATCTTGTTGTATAGAATTTGGTGCATGGATGTGTGTCTTTTTGTCCAAACACCGGAAAATACCAAAAGAGGGAGACGAGAAGGTCTTTTGTCTGAATGCCGGACAATAAAAAACGAGGTAGGAGTCGTCCTCAAATCAGGAGGGTGGGCAATGAGAGTTTTTTTGAGTCTGAGGCGTAGGAAATTGGTAGTCCGGACGCCGGACACTTGCTATTGGTGCCCATGTTGACTTATTAGCTTTAGCTAAGTTGTACTTTGCAATTTGCACAAGCCATGATTTTACATTGGATTCTTCAGCCGAGAGGACCACTTGGACTTCAAGCATTCTACGAAGTAGGCCTATCCAACTTGAAATTAATTATATATATAGACTATAGACGTACATTTGAAATGAATTATATAGATTATAGACATACATACATAGTTGATATAGTATATATGAGTTAGGCTTCGGGGAGATGCATGTTTTGATATACATTTTAACATTTACTTTGTAGGGTTCATTTGGTAATGTGTTTAACAATCTGAAATGTCTACATTTTAATACATTATTCATAGATTATCCTTCCAAAAAGTAGACAAATCCAAAATCATAAATACATTTATTTGTAGTCAAGAAAACGGACGAATAAGGTTATACAAAGAAACACTAAATTCAATCCAACGATCATATGATTTTCGAATTTGGGTGATTTTTTGTATATGACCTTTAAGGTAAGACATAAAAGATAGACGGTTGGATCGTTGAAATATTACTGAATGGATCCCAAAAAAGCGTATGTCAAAATATTACTGAGTGGATTCCACAAAAACGTATATCAAAATGTGTGTTGCAAACATGTATTCTCATATCTAACCCATATATAGATATTCTTGTGCCGCAGTCAACTTTCATTCACATTCATGCATTTGGGTCTTTTTCGTAATGTTATGTAACATTTTTTGTCTGGTAACTAGACTTTGATTGGCAGATCCAAAACTTCTTTTCTTTTTGGTCCAAATTTGCCAGCTTATATATACTGACCTCCGGCGGTGCCTACTAACCACCTAACTCCTAGAAAGAGACCTTTATTTTACTATGCACAAACATGAGATGCAAAAAAACGACAGAATTCTAGGTCATCCATATGGCCAAAACCTAGGTTGGTTACCACCACAAAAAATTCATAAGAATATAATCATATATATTCTCTGTTGTGTTTGTATATAACAATTATTCCTTGCCGGTAGGGGGTTTTTCGGTGTAATGGTCCTCACCTCTTCATGAGAAAGGTAAGTGCCCGGCACATGATCATTATCAAATAGTTAATATCGTCTAATCTTTCTCTTTATGAAAAGAAAAAAAAATTCCTTGTTTTACTCATTAATGTAATTTAGTAAAAAGACGATTGTAATTGCCATCTAGGTTGATAGACTTGCCTTTTATGTTTGAATCGATATAGCTTAATAACATTGAAACCATGAAATTGATAATGAAGCAAAAATATATTGAAAACTTTTGAGT